AATAATGTGATCTGCTCTCATCATGTGGCCATAGTGGAGCGGAGGAATTTCATCCTCACCCGGTGCCCCCCTTGACCGATGAACCCGACCTGTCATCTTTGCTCTCTGACAAATCGAACAGTAGCGGTTTTTGGGGAAGTGACAAAGTTGATGAGTTTCACTTTTGGCTTCCTCTTCAAGGCGTTCACGGAGTGATGGGGTCCAAGGGTTGGCCTCTTCATCTTCTTCATCTAAAGGGGCATCCAAGGGCTCCGCTTTTGGTTCATCACACAACATGAGTTCATCACCAAAATGAGGAAGAGTTTCTGGTTTCTCTTTCAACACTTTATCACTAACCTTTGGCAAATCTGCTGGCGCTTCAACACGAGGTTCTGGCTCCGGAACAGGTGCTCCTGCCGGACGATCTCTTGACCCTGAACTCGGACCTCCAATTGGTTCTGTGTCTGAGTCAAATGCGACAGGTCCTGGACTGGCTTCCAAATCTGCTGGCGCTGCACCTACCCATTCATGAATGATCGGAACATTCTCACGAACTTCCATGTGAATCTTTGCCGACTCAGGGCAAAAGTGCTTGAGATCACCAAGACGATCCGCCTTGATCATGTAGGGCAATTCGTCTGGCAGCCAAACAAACCCTCGTTTGTGTTGGTTTACTTGAATTCCCAAAGACAATGCATGGGGACATGAATCCAAAGTGTAGAAAGTGTTGAGACCGCTCACTTGCCCTTGGAGTTCGATGGCTTTTGTGGTTTTCCTCTCCCCACCTCCCGTTCTAAAGATCAGGTTTTCTGGCGGGTCGATGATGAAGCCTCTCCAATCATCGGGCATCGAGTCTTTCGACAACAAATTCCTTCCTGCACCTGAATCCATGAGGAATTCCATTTGACATGGATGTGACGCCAATGCAGGGACACTTGAATGATCAATCTGGGACATCGGATTGCAGCATGTGATGGCGGTCATGATCGTAGTCACGGCTTTGGCCAACATTTGGACACAAGGGACTTTCAAGGAACTCCGAGTGACTTTTCTGCAAACCTTCTTTGCTTCTTTCAAAGCAGCTTCGGCTGACGGAATCGACGCGAATGCAGTTGCAGCAGCTACGGAAGCGGCTCCGGCATGACTTGAAGAACTAGCACCAGTACCAGACTTCAAACGAGGTTTCGGGCCTTTGTACAAGTTCCCTTTGTCATGGAGGAATTCACAATCCTTCCCGCGAGTGCATGAATCGTATGCGAAGTACATGCATGGCAGTTTTTTGCTTTCTGCTCCTTGGTCAGTGGTGGCTTGTCCTCCTTGTTCTTGCCTTTGCCATCTTTTCCTTTCCCTTTTCCTTTCTGGGCAAACGCTGCATCAACATTCTTGTCTTCCTCAACCTTCTTTGATGTCTTGGGCTTGTCCTCTTTCTTGACCTTTGTGTCTTGCTCTGGCTTCTTTTCTTTCTCTTTCTTTGTCTTCTCATCTTCCTTCTTCTTGTCTTTTGTCTCTGCTTGTGCCCCTCCAACCTTTGGACCTAAGCCTGCTGAGGTGAGAGCTTTGTCCATTGATGTTGTGTTCAAATCCATTTGGGATATCTCAATGGCTTCACACATCTTGCTATACAACCAACGGCTGGTTCGCTTGTAGCTACCAGTGTTTGCTTCCCGAAACTTGTCAATTGCGAGTGCCATTTTGGGGTGATTCTTGAGGCTTTCAAACAACAACGACCTCAGCGACGTTTCAGCTGGCATCTCACTGGGTTCAAGAGCGCCTACGCAAAAGTCATATCGCTGTCGAAAGTCTTCAAGTGCCTTGATGTCACTACCATTCATCTTCAAGGACAAAAGGTGGTGCTGACTAAGTGCCGTTCCGCGGTCGCGATCGAGTCGAAACTTTTGGAAGATCAACCACAACAATTTGCGACCTTTTGGTTGTTGATCATGTGTCTGACATCTCTCTTGGTGGGTCTGAAACTCCAAGGCGAATTTTGTGCCTTTTGCTGATTCTAGCAATTTGGCGCCTAGGATCCGATCCAAGATGGGGAAATCCTTTGCATTGTTGAACTCTTTACCATCTTCCGAGATGTTGCAACGATTGATCCAACGGAACACGACGCTTTCATCATTCTTGGCAAACTTGCAAACCCCACTGAACACTGCGTTTCGGAAACTCCGGCATTTTGCTGCGTCTTGAGGCAAAGCAGGAATCTTTAGATAGTCATACTGTTTGATACGCATTAGTCGTTTCTCTCGTTTGTAGGGATCCTCCGAATCGCTTGATGAGCCATCTCCACTTGGGGATTTTGGTGGTGAGTCTCCGCCCCCTCCAGGATTTCTGTTTGAACCCTTTCCTTTCGAGTCACTTGAAGAGGATGAAGAACCACTTCCTGGCGGCGATCCGGGGACTTTGCGGCGGTCTCTTGATCGGTTCGATGATGGCTGATTGCCCGATTGCACAGGGTTTGCCGTCAACCCACCAATCAATTGCTGCATTTGAACGGTCAACTGATGCACTTGCATTTGCAAAGCAGTGTTTTGGTCACTTTGGATTTGAAGTCCGATCTGATCATTTAGCAAGGCAGCAGGAGGCAACATTGGATTTGCCTTTGGTATCTCTCCTGCACAAGCGGACTGAGTTGGTGAAGGTGCCAAATGCAGCTCTTCACCCTTGGTTCCTGTGGCAATGGGCGTCAATGCAAACGAAGGCAACGCGACCCGCGAATCTTGCATTGGTTGACCCTGGAATGCGACCGTGCCAGGATGGTAGGATTTAGGAGTTGCAATATTATGCACCACCGGAACCAATTCACCCATTCCATGAACTTTCCTAGATGGACTTGGCTGACCAACACTTTCAGGTTTCCTATCAACGAATGAGGTTGCCTTTGGCGGCGGACTACAAGGATGGATGGTGCTTGGTGCCCCTGGAGTGCAACTCTTTGCAAGGGACTGCAACCTTTCATCTTGATCCTTGATCCTCCTCATCATCGCTTCCATTTGACCCCTCATTTCATTCATCTGCCTAGTGGTGGACTCTAGTGCTTTCTCCTTTTGGTTCAATGCACCGGTCACTTCGACCACCTGGTTCGTGCGATCAATCACTAAAGCCTTCAATTGCTCAATCTGATTTTGGTAATTAGCAACCTCTTGATGAGACTGATTCATCAAACGGGTAGCTTGACCTTGGGTTTGACGGACCAGTTCATGGGCTTCTTCTTGAGACTGCTGGACCATGCTCCTGGCAGTGGATTCTACCGCCTGGATTTGAGACCTGGCTTGGTTTTCAATGGATTGAACTTGACTCTGGATTTGGGCTTGAGCATTAGATTCAATACCCTGGATCTGCTGAAGGGCTTGGTTCCTAAACTGACTCTCCATTGCTTGGACATACTGAGCAGTCTGGTTCCTCGCATTAGCTTCAACTTCAGAGGCGTATTGAATGGCTTGACCCTGCACTTCGGACACGACCTGGTGAGCCTGAGCTACTACCAGAGGGTTCAAATCCAAAAGATTGACTGATCTGGCATCTGTGAAATGAGACGACTGGTTGCTTTCGAATACAAGCTGTCTTGCATCAATATGACCGATGGTCGGTTGTTGGTATTCAACACCCGTCCTTGCTGTTGGGTTTCCTTGATTACTTTGAACCATCGATGAGTGAGATGTTTCTGTCAGGGATGACAAACTCGTATCTTGGATAGGAGTTGCAATGGCTTCCCCAAACATGACAATCTGTTCACTCTCCGGTGAACCATGCGCACTTCCTCCTGATCCCTCCATCGCTTCTTTTCAAAGATCAAACGACGTCTACTCGGCTGCAATGAAATTCTCAACTGCCTCCTTCGTCCAGCCGTCGCTCAACCAATTGGCGTATGGATACGCAGATCCGCTGTTCAAGCTCCTCTTCCGTGAAAGCTTAATGTGAATCCCGGTTGCCCTGTCGGTGGCCAAAGTGGCTTCCAACTCAGATAGGATATCAGCGTTGTCGTCGATCAAACAACAAGACAAGTGATCCCCCAACCGTTCGGCAAATCTCGAGATAACTGCAGCCTTCCCTGTCGGACCGTCCGGCTCGAACGTACAAATGATCCCGTCAAACAAGTGATGAATCCCTTCGCTGTTGCTCCAAATGTCCTTGCACGCTTGATAGCGCCCCGAACTCCCAATGAAAGAAAGAACGAAAACAAATGGAATACGCTCGTGATCCAATGCAAACTGTCTGAACTTCTCGACCGCCTCAATGTTCTCAACTCCCACGCGACCTGTCTGTCTGCAAGTATCGCTGTGATCCCTGTCAAGAACCTGATGGTGATCAACAAAAAGGACCTTAACCTGGCCAATGCCTGCAACTGCTCACAAATGCACTTCCTGTGACTCCCAACGAGTATAGCGACTCTCCGCTGCCTCAAAGGTAAGGAAATGTACCGTGTCCGGCAGAACAATCGAGACTTGAACTGGCTCTGGCCTCCGCGGCGGAGCCTTTGCAAATGCCTTTGGCGTAAGGCCAATCACAGCAGGCGGTACCGGAACAGCGGGCTCAGGCCTAGGTGGCAGTGCCGAAGCAGCTAACCTATGCGCCTCCTCGAATCGAGCTCTGTACGTTTGAAGAACCTCCTCAACAATCGTCACCCGACTCTGTGCGCAAAAGTTAAAAGACGTAACACCGTTCAGCAAATGCGGATGTGTCAACGCAAAATGCCCCTCAGCCACGCCCTGGCGAATGAACGCCCTCTTCTGTGCTCGGCCGCTCTTTCCCGAGCGAGGGAACCTCAGAAGCTTGTGGAGCTCCTCGTACTCGGGATGCTCCGGATCGGAATAACCCCCTTCAGGCGGGGGCGGACCAGCGGGTTCAGTCGGACGACGTGAACCAGAGGAAGATGCGATGGCTGCAACGACGGCCAACAACCGATCGCAAAGCGATACGGCTGATAACCAAAAGAACACAGCAGCCGCCCCTTTTTCCCACAATCTTGAGCCAAACATGTCCGGTGAAGTGAAACGTCAATGACTGGATCATGTGATGGCTACATTCATTAAGATTCCTATGACTTGCATGTCAAGTGATACACAGTGCTTAGTGACACATCGAATGCAAAGCTTGCCTGCAGAGATGCTCTTTGGTTGTTCATGGACTGCTTCAAGGACTGCTTCCCCTGGCGTGCCAGATGCATCGACCAGGGTGCTTTGCTAGTGGATTAGGGGTGGTGGTTTCACCCCATGTCTCTCTCCTGATTCTTTGCAAACCTGTGCGCACTGTGTATTGAAACCGAATCTGGCAATTCAATCAATATCAATCAGCATCGTCTCTAACATCTCACTCATGTCTTTCTCTGCTTCTGTCACGTGCACTACAGTACTTCCTACTCGGGCATGGTTCTGCAGCATTCAACACACCATTGCTTGAAGTAGAGACTTGCTCCATAGAATTCCGACCTCATGGCTCTCGGGCTGTGGCTGTGGCCTCAGCTACAGTAGGAAGCAAGACTGCTGGAACCTAGCTTGGATCTTGAACGACTGATTGAAGACTGGAAGCAATGCGTATGGTGGATGGGGACGTTCAACATATATAATTCAACTCGTACTTTCAACAAACGAGATCTGTCAAAAGAGGGGACATAACATTGTAAATGATTCGGGATGCCATTCAATGTCCTTCTGGTCCGAGTCTCACATCACCAAGTCGCATTTCTGCACTGAGAGCTTTCGCAGTCTGAGGCTCTGTGGTCTCAGCCAGGAGTTTCTCAGAGTGTTCCGCACCAGAGAAGACCTGGCTTTCAGCACCAGTGCAAATAGTACAGTTAGTCAAATAGTGAGCTCTCTCTTTAAGTCTTCAAATGGTGATGCATACACCATTCTGTCGACATGCCCGTCGTTTGCCATACATAACTGCACATTCATCACAAGCTGCTCGTGCCCATGGGGTAGGGAGATGCAAACTGCCAAAAGTGAGTGGTTCCCTATATCAACTTGATCTTGTGGACCCCCTGTATAGTACAAGTATAGAGGAGGAGGCAAATTGATCCAGCTCTTGACTATGTAATGCCACTGAGCCGCCCATTCCAAGAACTCTTCGGTATCAACCTGTCCATCTTGGTTTTTGTCCTGAGCTGAAACTTGACTGAAGTCCACTCATTGGCACAACTTTGACGAGAAAAACACAAATGAATGAACCAGTGATTTCTTCACACATAAATTATCATAAACTATGACTATAATGCCTTTCCTATGTTCTACCAGTATCTATTTGTTTGTTTCCTGTTTTCTAGGGTGATTATATTGTATCAAACAAATGCAGATTAGTTAGTGTGCCTCGGAAACCACAGTGTGTCATCCAACGCATGTCGTTCCACAAACAACAATTTCCTGGCGTGATGAGAATGAAGCAGCAGCACAGTGCCCTTGTCTGACCGACAAGAATGTGGCCACACACACACACTGCCTTTGGCCACACAATGCGTGAAACGACAGTGTGATTCTTGTAGCGACTGGTCCGAAGCGCCTGCACAGCATGGCAAGTTTATTAAAACAATGAAAATAGACTGCAACCAGCAAGTGTTGTGGTCGAGAGTCAACGGCGTGCACCACATGCTCGACATCGTCGGTGGTCATTTCTCCACCTCAGGCTCTTCTTACCAAACGTTTGTGTGGAACAAGCAATCAGGAGGAAGAAAACTCCAAATATTGGGTAGCACTAGGTTCATGAAAATTATCGCGCACAGTAGCTAGCAACCAACCCACAAAAAAAACCGAAGTCAGTTTCAGAGCCCACCAAATGGTTTTAGAGACAAGCGGCCATCCTCAAGAGATGTCCCCTTGAAATTACATGGTTCCAGAAATTCCTAATTGACAAAGGGGTGCTGGCTGCAAATCGAAGACGATCCGTGACATCACTACGAGTTCTAATCCGCAACGTTCAACCTATTTAGGGAAATGCTGGTTTTCAGCCCGAATAAGTCATCAGCGTGATTTGAGATTAATTCTAATTTAATATGTATATATATATATATATACATGACTTCATACATGTTATGTGCTTTTTGACGCCAGAAAAATGCCTCTGCAGAGCCGAATTTGGATATCTCTGGATCAAACGAACTGCATCACTACGCTACCCTCGTCGGACCGCTCCTCCCGAAATGCCTGCCCAAGCTTGCATATTGCGTGATATCGAGCACAAGAAAAATATGCGCAAGTGGAATGGGAATGTCGGATGAGGCGCGCATGAGTTTAAACACGATTCGTGAGAATGAATTAAACATCTGCAGGGTTCGTACTTCGACTCAAGCAAGTCACCCAACCAGACCGCTGCAATACACTGTACCACACAACAAACCACCACATCAATAAGAATCGCTTGATCCTTCATCACCTGGCAAGCCATCACACCCCTAAATCACACGACCCGGCCAACCGGCTGTGCAGGAGCTTGCCTGGCAGCTGGTCCCCCAACGTCTATATTAATAAATTACTGTGTATATGTTATACATTGTACATATAACATATATTGATATACACTACACTGCTGCCTATATACGTATGTACTTTTCCATGGGTCCCACCGTTGATTGAACTCAGTTCTTGGAACATTGCTAAGGCTCATGGCCACATTGCAGAATCGATTCCGATATATACCCCACCGTTACTTGCGCATTCGGCTGCTTGGGTGAAGCCCACTTGACACTGCATTCAAATTCTGCACCTTTCCAAAACCCAATCCAGCTTTGATCCTTCTGGTCTTTGCAAGAATCTTCCAAAGACAACACATCTGTTCGCCCTTTATATAAAATATTATGTAATATCCTATATCTTATTAATCAATTGCCCCGTTCAGCAGAACACAGTTGGACAACAAAACGGACAAAAATAGTTCACCCCACGGGCCCTCATTCAATCCAGCGGCAAACTCTGCTCAAGCAGTCCTTGAACTCATCGCGTGAAACCAGGCCATCATCATTGAGATCCCATTCGGAAAACAGCCACTTCACTTGCTCCTTCACCTCAAACATGAGTGTGCCCGCGTACAGGAGCAAAACTCCACCAACCTTAACCTATAGAAACAACCTGGTCATCATTACATTCACTCTCCCATGCTCTATATGGCATCAGATTGGGGTCTTCAAAGCACACCTTTGGTTTTTCATCCACCAAACGACTCTCATTGGGATTCTGCCAAAGAAGACCGGTTTCAATTCAGTGTGGAATCGACGTACGCATAGAGGCCCCTTGCTTCGATTGTTTCAAGTCCCGTTGGGTGGCATGCTACTGGATTTGGTGGCTGTTGTAGGTACAGAATGGCTGCGGTGGTGTTGCCTTGCCAACTTCCTGCTTCTCTGCTGGTCTTGTGCACTAGGTACAAATTTGGTCCTTCCTAGCGGATCCAATGACTAAATTGAGACGAGAAATCATGCATGGCTTGCATTCCCATGCTCGTCAGGTGAATGTGTACGCGGTTGCTTTACAGAGCCTTCGAAAAGCAAATTGTGATGGAGCTGAGAGCTGGCTGCAGGTCCACCATGAACCAGATTCAAGGAGAAAAGTGACGCTTTGGATTTCAGTGAGTGTACATCTTCAGGACAACCACCGGACTTTTAGCAAACTCGGTGAGGATGGCTACGCCTGTGCGATTGGCCCAAGAAACATGTTCGGCCCAAGTCGAAAACGGTGAGACCTGGGGAACCCTTGGAAAGATGAGGCCTCGGAAACCAGTCAGTTGAAGTGAGCAATTCATAAACAGAAACCTCTTACTTTTGGCCTACGACCACCACGACTTGAGGCCTTGGTCGCACATTCTTTGTGTTTTTCACTCCCGCCTGCTAATTCAAGCCTTCGAAACCGAAACCTGTTGTGTCAAAAACGCATGTCAGCTGTCAGCCGTTAGATGCACCAAGATCTGGTAGTTCCTGCGGGCACCTTTCTGGCAGGAAAACATGGGAAAAATGAGGTTGGAAACCTGCGAACTAATTGTGGGTTCACAACCTGTGGAATATCATTGTCGGTAAGATGTGTACTAAACAGTTTGTCGGACCTGGACCTGGCGCGCTCTGCAACGCCGTGCACCGCGTCCCGCCGGCGTCCGCAAGCAGTCGGAGATAAAGCCCGGTCCATCAAACGCCAGGTCGCCGGCGTTTCAATGGTTGCACACGACTCTCCCTCGGGCGCTACTTCCATAGGCGAAGTTGCACCACCCGCGTGGCGCTCCACTGTCGATATGATGAGGCCCCGGAGGCGGTCCTGGTCCACCATTGAAGTGTTCCTCACCCGAAAGGGAAAACATCGAAGCAAATTTTTAAAAATTGGAGCTACATCGCACGCATCGTATGTTGGTTCTGCTTTCCCTCTAGCTAGAAGACATAATCGTTTGATATGTTTCGCATTTTGGTTACCAAGTTACAGATCGTGCGTGTCTTTGACTTCCGCAGTGCAGACCAGGCTTTGCTCCTAGCAGTGGTTCTCACTGTCAAACATCTATTTACAACTACGCACTGAAATGCACTGAATATAATTAACCGTCATCCGTCTGTTTGATCTTTTCGTTGATTTTCAATCCTTTGTAGATTCGAGCTTCCAGCTTCGTTTGCCAAACTCGCAAAGGATCTTGAAATCATTGTATTCTGTTAGCAACAATAGTGGCCTACCTAGTGCAAGTAAAGGAGATGATTGTGATGCCAACAAACCAAGTATCTAGGGCACATCGCACGGCTCGTCGCTGGTGCTCTGCGCCCTGCCAACATTTCCGCTAAAATGCAATGTGACAGAGTGAATCCATGTCACACGTCCAATTTTCATGAAGCGCCTGCATATTGTGTCAGAATTGCCTGTCTACGCCTGTCTTCTCTCGACATGTCTTCCCTCAGAACTAGTCAAGGTGCCATGTCGTCACTTGGAACCACCAGCGTGACTGCACGGCCAGTCCTGCCAAAGAACTCTTTTTGGCAAAGGTTTGAATACCCAACTCATCCAACACCAAGCATTTGGCAAACATGTCGAAAGTCCTCAATGTCAATCAACACAGCTGCGCTTCTCTCCGACCAGTGCTCACCCACATGACCCCTTCTCGAAACACCAAGAGTAGATTCAGATTTAAAAAACAGCACCCGTATGGACTTCCAACAGAAATGAGTAGAATTATAACTTACTTCATCCCATAACAACAGTAGTCTTTGCTCGGTGTTTGGCAACCACGTGATCTTGTAAGCTATCATCGGTCCACTTTTAGGGGCACACCGAGTGTTTGAGCCCAGGTACTCTCAGATAGATTAGTCGCATCGGTTTGCACTAAATGTTGCCGTTACTTGCGTCGAAAGGTCTTCGGGAAGTCGCATCGGTTTCATGATTCCATGCTGTTTTGAGAACATGCGACATGCAAATGATCTAGCTAACCTTTCTTTCAATGCTACTGGGGCCTCGCTTTAAGTCGTATCAACTGGAGGAAAGTCGTATCAAAATGGTGTGCCCTTGGGGATTGGCTTTTCTATGGATGTTTGTTGTTGTTCTATTTGTTCTACGAACTGATGTTAATGTGCTGTGCCCATGCGTTGCTTGCTTGTGTGATAGATTCAACAACCTTGTTGCATCATTGCATCGTGTTTTTTCAACAGACAGCGTGAGCTATTAGGGTTCTTACTTCAAGGAGCTGCGTGTGTGCGTTTTCGAGCGTGGGTGCTGGTGCCCCTGAAGGGTGCCGCTGTTGTTCCAGTGTAGGAAGAGCTTCGTGTTTGCTGCTTGTTTGCTGCTGCTGCTGCTGCTTGTTAGCTCCTGCTGGCGTGCTGCTGCTATTGCTGTTGTTGTTGTTGTGGTGGTGGTGGTGGTAGTAGCTGCTGCTGCTGCTGCTGCTGGTGTGCTGCTGGTGTAAATGCCTACTGCTGCTGCTTCCGCCAAGGAAATGGAATAATTTTGTATAAAACCAAAACATTTTTCAAACACTAAAGCGCCTTGTAAACAGGAACCTGATGTGACCCTGATGTGACCCCGTCGCATCGGGCCCCCCCTTGCAGATTAACAGTTTTCCAGTCACCTGATGTGATTAGTATTGTTGACAGTACAAGACAGGAGAAACAAACAGCAGTTGAAGTGCGCGGTCGACTTCACCCCATAGCCACATTGATGTCTTCTTACGGAGACTGGTTTTTGTCCCCTCCCCTCTCAGGTTTTGAAGCGTCCTAGCACGAACTGGCGACAATTCATGGACGCGAGATGACATTGCACTGACCTCTACTGCTGCTAGGCACGGGGAAATAGAAGGCAAAAAGGTGCAGTGTTTCGCATTGAGGTTCGATATGCTATAGAACCTATACACAACGCCTGGGCCAACTCCCATCCGCCATCATTACCTGTCATGAGTCATAGGATAGACTTCGACCCGTACAAAGTCCGACCCCCTTGGACATCTATAGTTCGGAAGGGTGCCCTTTTTCAACAGGGCACCCCCACGCAACTCCAAGGTTGTTGACTGCGCTCTATGTTTTCTCCAGGAGATCCCATATCAAAACGCAGTTGTAAGGATTAAGCCCGCACATATCTCCTGAGTTGTCCGAACACTATCTATATGAGGCTTGCACAGGGTCTCGCCGCTTCTGTCCTCTAACTCTCTAACTGGATACGCGCCTGGTTAGCCTGGTCAACTCGACACCATTTCTTGCATTTGCTTCTACAGTACTCTGATTAGAAGGCTGACAACGCAGCTTTGAAACTCAATATGGTAGAGCCGATATACACAGCGCCTGGATCAACCCCCGTCCACTGCTACTGGGCATTGGATAGGCTTCGATCAGTACAAAAGTCCGACTCCCTTCAACGTCTATAGCTCTGAGGGGCGCCCTTTTTCATCCAGTTAACAGCCCTCTTCACAATAAAAGGGGGAAGGGGGCCGGCCCCCAACTCAAAGGTTCCTGGCTGCATTCTATTTCCTCTCCTGTCCTCTACCTGCACTCATAACCCTCGATATGGGGCACCCTCGTTAAGGAGCACAGCGTCTGGCTTGTGCAAATCTCGCCGCTTCTGCCCTCTAACTGGATGGGCGCACCTGGTTAACCTGGTCAACTCCGTCAGTGTGGGATGACCTCTTTTCTTGCATTTCCTGTCACTACCCAAACGCCCACCTCAGTCTGAAGAGTCTCCTGAGCACTTCGCAAGTCCCCCACCCAAAACCCCCACCCCTAGTCAATAGACAGTCTAGCCATTCTCCTCAGCACTTCGTGATGTCGATGATGCACTGTTCAGCATCATTTGCATCACTCGCATCATCAAGACCCCTAAAACATACATGTTCACTACTTTCCGGACTTCCATGGACCGCCTCTGGTTTTCGCTCTCCCCCACCAGGCTCTGGGTTCACCCTACGGCCGGGCCCACTTTGAAACCACCTCCCCCCTATACTCACTTTCGCCCATCGACAACTCCAGCCTAGCCTATTGGCTGGCTTGCGCAATCTTGTTTGGCTCTTAAGAATCTGCCGAAAATCTGCCCGTCGACCGTCACCGCAGTCATGTCAGAGACTGGAGCACAGCCATTGCCACCAGCAAGCAGCAGCAAGGGCCCCTTCCAGGTGCCAGTGGTGGCTAGGGTGACAGCCTGGCTTCAAACCAATTCAATTCAGGGGGTGTGGAGTCGGGATCAAGTGCTTCGCAATTTCTCATCATTGAGACCTTTTCAGTGTAAGTCTGGCGAACCAGGACAAACTCCAAAAAGAACTGAATGCTCATCATTGAGCATTTGTGCACCTGTGTCTTCAACAGGAGCTAGCGTGCACGCAAGGGTGGTTCGAAGCCAACCTACATTTGAATTTGCAAACGCAGAATCTGCCCGGGGTGCGGATAAAACTTGCGCATGTGGGCATGTGGGAGAGGGGGAAAAAACGCTGAACAATATTTGTGGCACTCCATAGTTGTTCAAAGTAGCGAGGTGCTCGAACAAGGGGAATGGGGCAATGCCTCTTGCATGAAATGCATATCATCGTCGCCTTCCCCACACCAGCCGAATGGGCAACAACGATGTCCTGGTCCAATGGAGCAAAGCGCCACTGTCTGGAAATAATTGCACAATGCCTTGTTTTGAGTAGAGTGTGTATGGCATGTGGCACGCAAGCTTAACAATCAAAAATCTGACAATCAAACACCCAAAGCATCCATGAAAAGCTTTCAACATCAAGGACAGTCGCCCATCGTGACACGGGAGGGAAAGGGTGACCATTCCAATAATGGATTGCAGAACATGTGTTAACATTATTCTTAGACTAGTACTATAATTCTAATTATATATAATCGTACTGTAGAGTTAGTCCTCTACCAAAAATTAGATGGTCGTGGTGTCAAATTGTCAAGCATTTAATGGCGGTGTCACGTGGTCCGGCTTGAAGCTGCGGCATTCTTTGGCCAAAGCCTCACGCGTCGCCGCGTAGCTGGCATGCTTCACCTTAGTGTTTAATCAAGCCATGAACGCAACGGCAAGCCGGAGGGACACCAAACTGTAAATTGTGGGTATGGCTGCCTCACCTTTAACACTTCCCTCCCCACAAGAACAAACAGTCAGAGTCAGAAGGAAATTAAGAAAGTTTACAGTAGAGATCAAGAAACAAAAATAATGAGAAGTGAATGTGCAAAGCAAGCTGCAGAAGGGATGGAAAGATGTTTGAAGTGCTGCCGCAAATATGTTGGCTTTGCACCTCAACAAGAGATCAGCGCGATTTGACCTTGAGTCTTGAGACAATCTTGTGGAGGGCAAGTTTGCTCTCCAATGGTATTATAATTATACGATGGGGGAGAGCAGTAGCTGCTCAGCTACACCTTTTCTTTGCCCGTTTGACATGTTTTTGTGTCTAATTATGCTACATGTTCCATCACCTAGCTCGTGCGGCAAAACAGTAAAATAGAACACGTGCAAAGTGATCTGGTAATTGGATGTTATTCGACAACCGTCCACACGTGCCTGTAGTATTGCTACCGAGCCTCAGCTGCCGCTAGGCTTGGCTCATGATTACAACTCCGATAGCAAATGTAAAACAATTACACGGAAATTATATATATAAGTGTATATAGCACTCAACTTGTTCACCCTGCGACCCCCGAAATACAAGCAACAAAACAAAACATGAGACCAAGCACCACCTGCTGAAGTTGACTTTTGCCCCCTGCGGACAAGTATTGAAACATCTTGAAAACGAAGACATCCGGAGAAAAAGGCTCGACTCGTGTTGGGACGGAAAACAAGCTTCACATTTCCCCGATGGTCAAGCAGGATTGGGGAATACAGTACCTGTCTTAGAGTTGTTTACATTCACGATGATGCAACATGATGCAACGAGAAAAGGTACGATTTGCAACATGTCAACCACGTAGATAAGTTGGATTGGAACGAGGTATGCTTCTCTAGGAGAAAGCAAGCACTGTGAATGCAGCCACGTCCACCCACATATGTAGAGAACACCTGCGGTAGCGGCATCATGGTTTTAGCACGACATGCAAAATGTCAAGCAAAGAGTTCTGAGCAGTTCCAAGATGGAATCCTTTGTAGTGTTGTGCCATTAGCAAACTCTACTTGCACCAAGTGAACGAATACCAGGATATGTTTGTTTCGAGCTGCGCTCCACAGGTAGCAGTGCAGAAATACTCATCTTGCCCAATCTTGAGGCAAGTTGCGAATGTCCGAGCGAGCATCGGCCATTGCATGAGCTCAAATCTACAGCACAAGCCCGAGAGGCAGGCAATCTGTGTGGGTCAACCATATTGAGAACTCTGTGCAGCAAGCAAGGCATTTGACTAAGCTAAGTGCAACATGTTTATGGAAGTTGCATTGGGACGAAAAAAAGGGCTCTTTCATCCTTCTTCGAAGAATGCTTGACTTGGACTTGCATATAACAAGTCATTTAAGTTTGTCACAGTTGTCACAGCCACATTCTGCGGTTCAAACCGGAGACTAGACTGGGACCAACAAAACAGGAAAGAACAAGGAATGACAAAGAAAGCAACAACAAACATGAACGTATAAGAACATGCTCAACACTGAACAAAAAGCCGAAGGCGATCATAAAAGCCTTGCAAAAAAAGAGAGGTACACAACCAAGCTAGATTGAGATTGTGCAAGTGGAGGTTCACACCAGTGATTGTCCTGGGAAGTTTCTAGCAAATTATATAACTGAAGACTCTGCATGGCGATGATTGTCATGCTGTAACTACCTTGCAGCTTTGCAAACCCTGGGAATTATGTGTTTCGATGTAGACGGGATGGAACCGGATATATGTAAGGACCCGCAACATCTTACCATACTCCATGGAGTGGCTTCAAAAATGACAGGACCTTCCTGCGGCGAAAAACGGCACAGCCCCGTCGGCCTGTGTGCATTTAGCTTCCTACTCGCTGCTTCCAGGAGTTTGCTGGTGGACCTTGGTCGCTGGCTCACAAGCAAGCAGTGATGTCAAAGACCTTCCAAAGAGTCCTTCAATGCATGTCCAAGATGCATGATGTATAGCGAAATTCATTGAAATTGCTGTAATTTACAAGCCGCCACAGAACGAAACTTGGGAATGTTTATCAATGAGGGTGAGGCGCGAGGTTTGTGATCCACTGACGCAAGCCCGCTAATTTAGTTGGGAGTTGTTTGCAGTTTGCGCATTGTGAAATCGACAGGATGTAGCTGATGTATCCCGAAGGGAGAAAACAACAAAATTGGAAGCAGTCTTGTATGATGCTAATTATGATGTTGTCATGTGTGTTCCATGAATATTCAATCAAGTCAGCTGTTTGCCGGGCCACTGAGTGTCCACCTTGAAGCCTGGCAAGCCAAAACTCCATGAGTGCTCGCTGGAGCCCCACCTCAAACACCAACTGCGCGAATCTCGAGGAACGACGTCCGAAAACCCTAGGGTTCCGATGGACACATCAATCGAGTCAACTAGGGTTCTTTTGATGATGTCCATTTTTGTGGTCCCCGCTGATGCTGCTGCAAGCAGAAAACGGGTCGGGAGATGGAGGTGTTGCGAGCCCTCTGGCGTGTCACAAGCAAAACTCCAGAGTAAATAGTAAATACACGACTCCACCAATGGTAACTTTGGGGACGTGTCCACCAGCACAACTTCAACAATCTTCAACAAGAATGCAAAGAGTGTTCATAGGGCTGAGTCTCTAAGTTTCGCACTTGGGCATCTCAGGGCAAACCTGCATCGGTGGCAGAGCCCACCCTGCCCAAGCCCTACTATCCTCTCTACCTCAAATGCCCACCTCAGGGTTCAGCTCCAAGATGCGTAAGACCTTGGACCAACCAACGAGGCATCCCGGCGTAAGAGTATTGTGTTTAGCACAAATGTTCTCTCGATATGCGGTCACTTGAGCACCCCTTGCCATCCATTCCAGCCAAGTAAACCAATCCTGTTGTAGAGCATCTCCACCGGACCCTCCACAGCTCTGATCTATCCACTAAGGCGCGGAAAGGCCAGCGCTCTTCTGTCCAGCACCGCCGCAAATCCGGAGCCTGCTTTGTGGGAGTTTAGGAAGGGCACAATGGCTAGCTTCTAGCTCACGCTAGGTGTGGCTTGCAAGAAATGTGCCAGACTTTCACCTAAACTTATTAAGATAGACGTGAGGCGCCAGCAGCGTAGCAGCCACGGTTGGGGAATCATCACTCGAGATAACCTGACCAGAAACGAGGCACATCCTAGAGATCCTAAGAAACACCATGACAGAAAAGCCATCGTCCTGCACGGACATGGTCCCCGTGAAGAGTTCGTAGAGAAAGGGAAAGGCAGCATTTGCTGAGGGGCCTCCGAGCGCAGCAATAACTGTGCAGTGGAGCATTTGTACTGGCCAATGTGCTCGCTTTGTAGACTTTTGTGACGTTCCCTTCGATTGAATTTTGATCTCTGGATGTTGATGGCATCCAGGACCGGTGTCAAACATTTTTTGTGACTGACCTGGCCACTGAGGCCCAGGCCAAAAATTGAAAAGAGGCCATCGACAAAGCCCATCGCCTGAGGGCTCAAACACAACATCCAGTTGTTTCCAAGCTGATCGAAACACAAGCACAACAAACATGTCTTCAATGCACATATTTTGCCATACAACTGTCCTGGAGCAGATAGAATGTAAATCAATCCAAAAACATGACAATTTTCCCGTTTGTATTTTCCATACTGTATGTATATATATATATATGTGTGTGTGTGTGTATTCTATTCTATCTACTGCAGGATGAGCCTCCCAGAACCCAATGAAACCTCCCTAGGTCTAACCTTACAGAACCACATCACATCAGGAATTCGTGGGAACCTCGGAGCTTGGAACTTATCCACTGCAAAGGTTCCTACGCACCTGCTTTCACCATGCACAAGGATGCCTACACAACAAAAAGCCTAAGTGGGGCCTACGCTGGGACTCCCGCGCGGGCACATGTCATAATGTGCGTTGTTTCATGTTGCTTCTACTTAGTTACTGAGGTGGTCCATGAGAACGACGATGATTTAGGGGTTAAGAGTTACATCCTTCACACGCTACCAAGCACCAAACACAGGGCTCTTTTGCAATGGAAGGCACCAACCGGCCAGCAGCAACATCCGATTGTTTGCTACCAATCACACCAGTAAGGCACTTGGGCTTTAGCCTTGAGACAGTAGCGCCCTCAAAAATAGGCATTGTTGAACATGTTATGAAACAAGTGAAGCAAGTGAAAGAACAGTGTTGAATTGAAGCAACGTGGGGAAAAAGTGACAAGAGTACAATAGGCAAAGTAACAATTCTGACTTTCATGTGTTCGATATGTTCATAGTTCAACAATCTGTTCAATATCGTGCTTTCTTATTTCACATTTCAAGGACTCACCATGTTCATGATTGTTCAACAAATTGATCGTTTTTACCATGGCAAGCTCCAATGTATATAATTATGTATGAATTTGAACTCCTGTTCCTATACGCGCAGCCCTGCACGGGAGCAGAAACAAAACGAGCCTTTTTGCCAGTCAAGAAACAATTGATCCGTTGGAATTCGGTCCACTGCACTGCACTCCGCAGTCCATTACATTGGGTTGTCTCAAACAAGCGTGTGAACCAATCATAATCCAGAAGCATGGCTGGATTTGAGAACAGCACCTGCCTGTCAACTTGCTCTCTGTGTGCAGTCCATGGGCCTAGTGACTGGCCTAGTGCATCATTTATGTTCTACTCTGGTTTGAAGGGAGGTGGCCCACTTACTAGCTCCTGACATGCTTGGACAAGGTCTTCTCAAGAACATGCACTCCAAAAGCAACTTACACAACAACCCTACGCAAACAACTTGTGTAAGCCCTCCACCTACAGCTTACGCAAGCCTACGCTAACCCACCAGTATACTTGAGAGATGAGAGGGTGAACGAAAGGTAGCAGGCAATCACAAGTAACCCTGGTAGAAGTCCATGACGGCGTGAACCGGCGCAGGGGGGATTTGATCCAGGCGGGCCCCCCCCCCCGACGAACAGAATCAACTCTTACAGGACCAAACTCAATGCACAATCCCAACTCCTGATTGTAATACATTTTTGCTAAAGCAAGGAGAACTCAGGTAGCTCAGGCTACCTTTCGTGATATCAGAAAAGCAGCCTACACAACATTGAAGGAATTCCCCCCCCCCAAAAAAAAAAACAGCTCTATACATATGTATACTCAATTCCACATCAAAGCCCACAAAAGCGCATGTGCCTCAACCCCCTTCAGGTTTGAGACCTCCGGGCGGTTGTAGGTTACATCACCTTAGTGGCGGTTGTAGGTTACGTCAGCTCAACAACTGTAATGCAGTATAGAAGTTACATGAAGTTACTGTAACTGATCTGGTCTCAGCTGGTGTTACTTAAAAGCAGACTCTGTCTGGACGGTAACTCCTTTCGGGTCCTTAAGATGAGCTTAAATGTTGCCCGCAACAGGAATCAGCCTGTATGGAATGCGAGCTGCACATCTGCCATCAAATTTCCACAAGGGCTTGTCAAATCGGTTCTCATGACCAGCCCCCCAGCCCTTCCACCTCTCAATGCCTGGTGGCGTAACGTGGAGGAGATGCGTTCGAAAAGGCCCACGTCTTCGGTGAAGGTCTTGTCGCAAACCTGACTCAAGAGACGTACAAAACTGTGGCTGACACCTCTTAGTCTTCTATGACATACCAACTCTTAGTTTTCCTATGTCTTTCTGTGACAGGTCTGCGCTGTGGCACTCTCTGCCCAACCCGGCCCGATCAAAGTTGTCATCCTCCAAGACCGCGCCCGCACGGACAGGTAGCTCAAGCCTTGGCATCACTGGAATGCTAGGGCCAAGGTGGAAAAACACTTAAATTCCAATCTCAGCACCAGTCTGCACTCACGCATGCCTGCTGGTATACAAACATCAAAACATGAGTGAGTGAACAAGGTCCTTGCTTCTGGCTGGGCCCACTTGCAGCCAAGATTGCCTCCAAAAACACCCACTGCCACAGAAGTTTGAGGTTGTTATGCTTTGTGAGCAAAACTCTGAGAATCTGAAACAATAACTGTTTGCAAAGGTGGGAAGTGCAGCTTGGGGCTTTTCAAAGCTATCGCACCCTTGCAGGATGCTGAATGCCCCCCCTGATGGCAGCAGTTTCTTCAGGTCTTCCTGAGTCTTCCTGTTTTGCATCAGGTTCTGTCGGCATGTGTGTCTTGCCAAGTCGGGCCCAGCTTGGCCTGCAGAGTTTGGCGCCGCATGGCAAGCTCCGATGGCGACGCACGGCTCTGGCAGGGCTCCAGCCGCTGGGCAATTGCTTGAATCAAGAACAACTGATCATGATCGATCATCGAATCTGCACTCTGTGCTTTCTCTTGCAGGCCTCCCTAGAAGTGCTGGAGGCCATCAGCAGCTGCAACTCCTGCTGTCACGCAGTATCTATCAAGAATTTGACTCCGCCATTTTGTTAACGACAATGAAGGCCTTGTTCTTTAGTTGGGCAAAAACGAATCTGATGCCAAAGTCCACGCCACTCCTCTTCCGGAGTCAGACGACACATCGCTGAAGCAAGGTGGCGTTTGCGCACCTTTCACACCAATTTTTCTACTGGCTTTGGAACAACAATGTGGCTCAAGCATGAAATCCAAAGGACCTGGGCCCATTGGTCTAGCAGTCTAGCGAAGCCATGGAGCAGCACAATTGTCTGATCTGAAAGTCAGCCGCAAAGCCATAAAGAACTGAGGTGTCAACGTATTCCACTAGCAGCTGGCTCGTGTCCCAACCTTTTTTACATGACCACACACTCAAATGTAAAATATCTGCCGTGTGACATAATGATCTATACTGTAATTCTATAATATACACATGCAGCATGCATGTGCATTCATACCCAAGCGCCAAGCTTCTGCATGTTTCATAACACGTATGCGATCTGGCATCTTACACCTGTTGAGAGCAAATTGCAACATGTCGGATATCCTTGGATTCTGGAGGATCCAAGTCCAGAATCACTGCAAGGAACCTCTGCACACAGCCACCAAATGCCTGCAGTAATCATGGCAACACTCCCTTCCCAGCGCATTGCTGTTCAAATCTGTGGCCCTCTGCGAGTCATGGTGTGCTGGCCGGCTGGTGACATGCCTCAGGCCACGACTATGCAGAGGTGAAGTCTGTTGTTGGCCCATGTTTCTCCAAGGTCTAATAAACTTGCAAACGGCCTTTACACAAGGATGAAAGAGCCCCCCCTATGGGCATTCCCATTGGACTTCTTGGTTTTTCCTTCTCTCTCTCTCTCACACGTCGTCACAAGAAGGACCAAACATCACATGGAGACAGACCTTGTGCAACGACATCAGGAGACTGAGATAATGAAGTTAAAACAAGTGGACAACCAAGCCAAACAAAGCACTGAGATACTATATAAGATGATATAAACATTTTAAAAATGGACAGGACAGGGTCAACAAATTGTTCCCACAATAGTGCAAAAGGCTGATACCCTAGTGAAGCTTTTCGCACCCCCCTTCTCAAAATGGAAGGCAGCTAACCACCCAAAGAAAAATCCAAGGTGCAGTAGGGGGAGGTTGCCAAAGACAAACGTAGACAGCTAGCTGCGGCATCTGGATGATGCACGACCTTGGCAGTTCAGACTGACTTTTCCGGAAGCCCAGATGGTAGGATGGAATCGTGGTGCGGTTCCCACTTCGCGTGCACGCCACGGCCAGAATGGAGCATGGCATCAAGCTCGTCAATTAAACATATGAACTACAAATTACATGAGTTCTCTGTGGCGTGTCAGGGCACAGGCTGATGCGATCATGCACAAACGCTCCCAAAGCTGCCGCTCCTCGCAAATGCGTGGCAAGAACGCATCTGAATGGAATCCAGCCTACAGGACGCAACCAAAACACAAAAAGTTCAATGTTGCTTCTGTACAGTGAAAACACCTTGTCTCAGGGCTGCAGGTTGTGGTCACCATTTTCCAAGCCCTTCTTCTTTGAGCCAGTCTGAAAGATTCTCAAGATAAGAGCTCGACAAAAATATGACAGTGTGACCGGGACGCCTCACTGCTGGACACCTCTGAGACAGTCAAGGCCGAGACCATCGCCTTTCGCAAAGAGAGGGTATGTCGGAAGGCCACTTTTTGACCTCGCCTGCTTGCGATATGGCAAGTCAAATTTTTGTTTGAACACAAGGAGGAGAGAAAAGAAATCCCTGCCTCGGCAAAATGCCAGGTCATCAAGCGACAAAGCCTCAAGTCAAGAACCTTCAACAAACTAAACAACCAACGCTGAAAACGTGCGCAAAATCTACCTGGCAGCTCTGGTCGTCTGGCCCGCATGCAAATTGGGTAGATGTTATCTCCCAAAAAAACGTACATGTGCTCAAACATCCTGTGCAGTACATCATATTCTGTACCTCCCTGATCACTTCGCTGCGGCCTCACTTGTGCCAAGGAGCAAAAGATAGAGATTTGCAGCTTGAGTTGGCGCAAAAGCAAACGTTCCAGAAAGGTGAATTGGATAGTAGTAGTGGCCTGAGATCAAAATCAAGTGGGCTCTGGCGACCTCACTAGAAAGTTGCTGTCGCTCAGGCGTATCCTAGAAGCTCAAGATTCAAGATACTCCAAAATATGCCCGTTCCCTAGGTCACAAAAAGTCCGCTAGCCGCTAGCCGCGAAACAAACAAAGCTCTCCCATTTATTGCCCAGTGTCATTGTGGCATGATGTGCAACACAATCAACACTGCTGCACGGCGAACAATGATATATATATATATATATTGACAACATCAACTTCTGTGTGGGCCTGATTGGAACACTGAGGCTCTAGGGTTCAAAGCGGGAGCCTTCTGCAAGGTTTTCGACCCAGTCCTGCCAAGGATAAATTAAGGTCCAACAAGATCCTTTCTACCAGGAACGCAAAATCACCAATAGAAACAAATTGTCTAGAAATCTAGAAAATCCTGTAGCTCAATGCGACAGCCTGGCATACACAACCTTGCATCGCACAACGCCACGCCTGGTTCTCCCGTCGCAACACTAAAGGAGAAGGCAGGAAACCATCAGCTGACGGACCAGCCTTTGGTCAAGCATCGTGTGGCTCTGTGCCACTGGAGACCGGGACATGTGTGTGTGTAACTCGATAATTTTGTAGCTGTGTCGAATATGACTATGACTGGCCTCAACTTGCCTCAACCTAGAAGCAGCGGAAGGACCGACAACAGCAGTCAGAATAAACACTTGTCAACAGTTCTGCAGGATGACATAACAAGTCACAATTGTCATAATCTATTGATGGCCTAGTGAAGCTCACACGAGAATCCAACAGATGTATAGGGCACTAAAAACCACTGCAGCACACACCTGCTTAGTTTAGGTTTCTATTTCATCTAGAGTCCCACGCTGCCGGACGAATGGGCTCGGCCAAAGCCTCGGGCGCAGCTCATGGTGCAGCCATCTGGTGAGAGCTTTCCGATGTACTCCAGCTCACTGAGACTCCAAAATGCTGCGTCTGAACATGTCTCCTTGCGCCCCCCAGCTACCTTGCTCGGACCTTTGTTCACCTCCTACGGCTCATCGGGACTTCTCATCACTTGAGAAAGAAAAGGAACTGTTCACTCTAGGCCAATCTATGCTAGGTCTCCCGGCTGACACCAAGACTCTCAACTCGTGGCTTTGATTCTGAAGCAAGACCTCAACCGATAACGATTAAAAAAACATCCTTTACAAAACATGGAGAAAACGTGCACAACACCGGTGCACATCCACGCACTATGTTTTGTCTTCTGCTCAGCGAAAAGATCCTCTTCTCCATCTCCGGTTTCGGCGCTGTCTTCCTTCAGCCCAATTGCTCCAATATGATGCACACGGTCATGTTGGGGACGTGACTCCAAACTCCCAAGGGTGCACAGCCGCTCGAAGTGTCCGTACTCCCTGCCGCTTGCGTGTAGCTTGAATCCAGCGATGTAGGAGTGAACTGCAGACTGTTCATGGGGCAATTCGCAGGATTCTCTTGGCATTCTGTGGCATGCAATACCTTGGGCTGCCAAGAAACTGGCAATAATACCTTACAAAACGGGGCCCAATTCTGCCAAAGCCAACTAAGGTTTTCCTGGATCGGCGCCTTGACTGATGAAATACTAGATATACTAGCAGCTTTCGATGGTTTCATCTACTCTTGAATATGCCCGACCCAAAAAAGCGCTGCTTCAAATACCACGCTGCATTTCACCATTTGCAACCACTCCGCCTTCCCATTTGTCCTGGAGCATCGGGTTCTCCTAAGGCCGGGGCTTTGCTGTGCAAGAAATTCTATTTCCCGCACAAATGCTGCTGGCTTTCTGTATAATGTCAACCTGGTATTAGGGAACCCCCCCCTATTAGTCTACCCCGCGTTCAGGCCCCAATAATAAACTAATTTGAACTATAAATTTCCACAGTCACCACCCTCTAATAAAATTTTTGCTTGGCTGAACCCCCCCCCTATTAGTCTACCCCCTGTCCCTCCAGGAAAAATATAATTACTCAAACAAAAAGTGTTTCCTTTCATATAATTCCCTTTCATTCCAATTCTTCCAAATACTAATTCCCTTTCATTCCAATTCTTCCAAATACTAATTCCCTTTCATCATCAGGTCATCCCCACTATTAGGGGGATGTGATCTCCAAAACCTCGAATCTCAGACCTTGTTGACCTTGTTGACCTTCTAGGGGGGGGGGGGGGGGGGGGGGGGGGGGCCCGTTGATTAATACGACGTTGGCATTATGGACAGCCAGCCAGCACTCGGTTCATGCACAAACTCACCGAGTCAAACTCAGGAGTTCTTTCTCTGCACAAGGGCCACTGTGCCACAGTTTCACGAGTCCAAAGTACAAGATGTGACCCTCCGCAGGGCCCGCCCGCCTTAAGAGACTGTCTAAAGAAAGTCGAAGTTGTCGGTGCCGGTGTTCAGCAGAAGGATTTTTACAAGTACTATATATAGATCTACAATTACACTCCCAAACGTATCCCTGGCAGCACTGATTTTAGAGGGCTATGTTAGTCCTTGCAACTAAGAATATTGCCATTCTGGAAGACTCCACATCCATTTTAGAGGGCATGTTAGTCCTTGCCCGTGCCAAAAACAGATTAACATGTCAACCCCCCCAAAAGAATACAGTCAATGAAACCCATGTTTGCCATGCTTCTTGTGCATGTGAACAATGTTTCAAATCCCAACCATCTGAAGTCTAGAGCTTCCAACATCTTGCTTCTTTAATTTAAGGGATGTTAGCATGTTCTCGATGAACATATGATATATGTATATAAAGAGAGGGGTAGATTTAGGTTTTGAATCTGCATGGGTATGTATGTTGGCAATGACGCGACAAAATGGACATGTCAGCCCCCATGGTCCAGTCGCTTGAGACTGGGAATATTGAAATCCTGACTATCTGAAGTCTAGAGCTTCCAAAACCAGTGTTTGGTGAGCCGACTAATTTTGTATACATTTCTTACATAAAAATACTCGTTTCAACACCGTGTCTTCAATTCCTGACCATCTCGTGTTTCGTGAGTCGACCAATTTTGTATAAATCCCTTACTTAAAACTTATTTCAACTCTTCTCGCAAACACCGCTTGTGCCCTTTCAACATCTGTCCACTAACCTGGACAAAAACAGAATCCACTTTAGGGGGATACGTTGGATTTGGGGAGAGTATCATCTATACGCCTACAGGTAATACGCTTGCATCTGTAAGCACACGTCTGTACACGTAAGCATGTTCGAGCCATGTGGCTATGCGACACCTACATCTTTGGACGCACACCAAGATGCACACTTAAACGCACAAGTACACCCGTGCACACCTACATTTCGGTACAGATACATCTGTGCACACATACATTACGCAAATGTCTACATACGTTACATCAAATATAATCATATATCTACACACAGTCTTAGCACATGATGATGATCGCACAGTGGGCTGCTGAGTGACAGGGCCACAAAGGACTTTCAGGCAAGAGCACCCTGAAAGGATGTGTGCGTGTCAGCCCTACTTCTTCCTTGAAGGAGCATGGAACGCATGGGGTGCACACCGACCATGCCTTGTCAGCTTGCTGTCTGCACCCGTTTGGGAGGGAATTTCATTGCTGCTATCTATATAAATCATTCTAGATCTGCGCATGCTTTGCGAAGCACGAGTCAGCCACCGTCCAAATGTCTCCTTTGTGGAGAAGTCCGCGTAATCTTCTGGACGAAAGGCACATGAACAAATTATATATATGATGACATGATGATGGTGATGATGATAGGGACGATGAATTAGTGGCTATTCTTTAAGGAGAACTTTCGCGGGTGCTTTGGGGATCAAGCCGCAAGCCCCTAAAGTAATTAGTAACAAATCAAATATGTCAGGCATATCGTGCCAGGAGTGTCTAAGATAGCCTCGGCTCAAGTCGGGTTATGATCTAACGGCATCTAACGGCACCAAACAGGTGCCCGCACAATTCAACTGCACACGGCCAAGGCTCCATATCGATGGGCAGCATCTGTACCCGGTCAGTGCGGCAATTGATCTGCAGTACACCAGGCGCATTGCAAGGAATAGCGTACCTCAAACTCCAGGCCCCCTGGAAAATACATGGAATACGTCTGTTGGTGCATGGCACCGCCTGTGAAGAAGGAGCTCAGTGGGCAATTGTGCTCTGACCGTGTTTATGCAACTTTGTATGATCTCTCTCTCTCTCTCACTATGATGTGGTCGTGGCTCTCAGTTCCACTTCGGCAGAAGTCTGCTTACCCAAGTTGCACATTCCCATCTTTTCCGACAAAGCCATTTTGCCACCTTGGTCCACAGCTGTCAACGCCATCTTGAAACTGGAAACGCTAGAACACATCTCAGAACAGATTATGTTCAATCTGATGCCGCATGAAACAAATGAAACTACTAAGGCACTAAGGCAAGCAAAAACGGAATGTTCCTTTGGGCAAATGCATTGACAGCCACTTTGCCGAAGGCACTTGTTGTGCCCTTCAAAGCGTGGGCCGATGGTCACTACCTCCTCCTTCTCCGGCAGGATCTTCAAAACAAAGTCTGCCTTGGTTCATCAGAGTTGGCGCGTGTGGCTGCCCAAAGACAGGGTCGAACCCCTGGCCCAATGGGTTGTTGTTTTAGTCTCTTTCTCTCCTCTTTCAGGAGGTCTTGGAGTGGTCTCCCCATATCACTAGACACTCACATGGAAGAGTATCACCTGTTTTTGGAATAACAGGTTGGAGGCCGGGGGGGAGCGGGCTTTTAAACAAAAGGTGCCAGATCACCTCTTCCGCATTCCTCGGCACTGCTGCGCCAAGGCACATCGCTAGGGAAGCAGTAGATGGTACCATCATCTGCAACCACCCCACCGCCATACTTGTATTTGCCATTCGGCCTCCAAGTACCTTGCAAAATGAGGAAAATATGCCGTGATTGAGCCCTTTAGGTGGTTGGACTTGAACTAGCCGGGCAAAGATCCTCTCACCATGCCGCTTCTTTGGACAAACATCTCGGGCCTTAATTTGCCAGCTGGGAACATGTTTCAACTCATCAATTGCATTGTTTTCTATTTTTTGGCCGACGCTGATATCTTGTGAGACAAATACTTGCTATGGTACATATTGGAGTTCCTCCAAACCAAAGCACGTTCCATGACGTTCCATGCACGTACCAGACACGTGTGGGCAGCAATGCTTCTGCAATCATGCAGAGTCAAGCAGGCTTTGCCACAAGAACGAAGCAACAAATAGCCTTAAGGAACCATCAACGAATCTCAAGGACTCCGTCCTCACTGACCACTCCTGCGGAAGAGTCTGTCACTTTCTTCGCCCGAGGGGCCATCGGCGGAGAATACCCAGGAGACCAGCTCATTGAAGCTAATGCGACTGTCACCATTCCTTGGCCACGGATGTCGTAAACTCTAGGTGTCGCGACAGTCATGGTTCATCCGATGGAGGGGTGCAAAAAACGAACAAGGCTCAGAAAATAGCAGCAATGAAATCACTTGTGACTCACTTGAGCTACAAACATGGTAGACCCTTGAAAAAAGCGAGTGTTAAACTCTCTGCGGGCTTCTTATCAACCCTCTTGAAGATGGCTTCAATGTCTCCATTGCTCATTGTAGGCTTTCCTGCCCTCAACAACCTTTTCACCTCGTCAATGTCCAGCTTTCCATCTGAATTCATGTCATACTCCCAGAATCGTCGGCGCAGCTCATCAGTCCTGGGCTTATTTAGAGCTGCCGCAATCCGCTGTTTGCGCTGCCGTGCTGCTGTGAGCTCTGGGTTCTCCTCCTTCTTCTCTTCCTCCGGCTCAGCCGAGTCAGCTCGTAGCTCGTGAGTCTCCTTCTCCAGTTTTTTGTGTTCTCCAAACCAGCCTAAAACGGGTTCTTTCTTTCGCTCGGAGGTGTAGCACATGCTCTCGGGCACACCGGCATCGCAGGCCATGGTTTGGGTTTGGATGTTGGGCTGTCAAAAGCTATGGTCCTGATCCACTTACCGATACCTACCAAATCCTATCAGTGCAGTATTGAAGCACCCGACGGAATGATCGAAACGGGCATCATGCCTAAATCTGCAGACCATCAGAATCAGACTGGAAATGTTATGTCAACAGAAAGGCATCGCGCGAGCACATAGACCTTGAACTGAGTGTCGCAAAATGTACCAAAGGTTTTTGTCTTGCACGCTCCACCCAATATGCTGATGGTGTGGGGTATCCGTTTATCGGCTTGTCCATGCGAAAACCAGCCAGTACCAAATAAATAGGCCTAGTCAAACACCGCACTACTTCTTTGCTTTTATGTGTTTTTCTCTTAGGGGGGTAGGCCGTAGTATGCGTAACTAGCTAGCAGTAAGGGGTAAGTAAGTAGTAGCTTAAGTAGATACTACAGGAGTCCAAAAAGCTCAGGCTTAATGATTTGGCTCCTGTGTTTATAGATGTTCCTCAACCATTCTAGTGACAAGGCAGCACACCAAATCTCAAATCTCTGTCCTACAGAACGCCTTCCACCGTTCACCAGTCCAAAGATGTCCAAAGTACCACTTTCAATCGGCTGTCCGATGGTTCGCACTGAACCTGTGGATGGCTCAATCTTCAGAACAGCCTAGGAAGGCTGAGGCGCTTGGAGGGGCGGGTTGCTCGTCGCAGTTGCCTGTGCCTATTGATTGGGTGACTTGCAATATGCATGATAGAACTGGGAAAACCTCATATTAACGTATTGTAAATTAGGTCAGTGTTTTAGGCTTTCATGTCAGTCTGCATCAGTATGGTGGTACTGGTGCCCAAACCTTTTCGGCCAAACATCGACAAGGTATTCAATACTCTTTCCAGATTAGTGACTGGATGCATTCGGTGATTCAAACTTCACCACCTTTGGACGTCTTCTCTTCCTTGTTTTCAGAATAGACTGCGTGCTGCGTGGTGGTGATTGCACAAGAATTGCACAGGGTCTCGACTCGCGACAAGTAACTAGGAAACCAGTTGTCGATCCAAGTTGCATCCGCATGCGATGGAATGCCATATATGCAACCATCCTGACACAGTTTTCTTTCACCCTTCCCTTTGATGTTGAAAAATTGGACGCAAGAGGCCGTGCTACACATCGCCAGAATAAATAAGTGCACATCCTACAGATCGAGGAGAACTGCCAACAAAATACACATGCCTTGCCAACAACTCCACCATGCCATTTCCTCGGCTTTCCAACAAAGAAAAAACAACATCGCTTTCCAAAAGTTATTGTGTAAACCATGTAAATATTAAACTAATATTAAACATTTACGTTCAGTCCGTTATACACGTTCACTCCCAGAAAGCGTCTTGGGGTTGAAGACGAACTCCCCAATAGCTGCAAAAAGAGAGTGGGAGAGGTATCTGTACAGGTAAATGTGTCAAACATGTATTTGCGTATTGTATGGTCAATTTGTACAGTTGTATGCAATTACCAAAATTTTAGATACACATCGCAGAACAAACACGGGATAAGGACAAGGTGGTTGGGCCAAATACAGCTATGCATGATCATGGGGCATTGAGACAACCTCCAATTATGTATATGATTTTCTGCATTCATCAACCTGAAACCTCACATTCCAAAATTGTATACGGTATGTAAAACATAAACGATAATCTGTGTTAAACTATATATATACCTGTTACATATATCTACAGTATATATATATATATACATAAGGGGCGGCATAGTGTTATAATAGAAACTGCGGCAGGGTCAACTTCTGAATCTTCTGATGGTATTGTATGAATTGCAATTATTGAGGTTAGCCCGCACCTCCTGTAACGCACATAAAGGGCCATTGTTGGCAGCACTGCTCGGAATGAAACCCTTTTACATCCCACAGAAGCCAACACGTCGAATGGGATCGAATTTCGGCCCATTTGCTGAATGAGATCCCGACTCACCTCTGATCCCTTCCTCTGCCAAGGATCTGGCCGCCCTGTGAAAAAGTCGGGCCAATATTGATGACTTCCTGCACCATACCACATGGAAACACGCAGGAACTACATGATTCAAGTTTGGTTGGGCCTTTAGCAATCTTTAGGGGGAGAAGGTTCCCGCTTCCGCACAAGGAACTGCACAAAATTGAATTTGAAGCAACTGAACTGCGTTGTTGCCCGAAGTCCTGGGAGTGTGGATCAATCTTCAAGACTGAGGGAGCGCAATTGGGGATACCGTAGATGCACCCATCACAGCCCAACAGGCCACCATACCACTTGCACTGAGCGGATGTTGGGCGAACGGACTGCAGGAACAGCGTGAAAGAAAAACATGAACTATCCCTGCAAAAGCCCCCAAAAAGTGTGTGTGAGGTCTAGGTGTAGTAGCATTGGGGTCCAGAGAGGTGATGGTGGTGATGAAGGTGGAGATCGTGGTGATGGGTGGCGGCGGTGTTGAGAGTGAGCGAGGGTGAAAGTCAAAGTAAGTGAGCGGGGGTGAGTGTGAGTGAGAGTGTAAGTGTGAGTGAGAGTGCGGGTGCGAGTGCGAGTGAGCGAGTGAGAGAGAGTGAGAGTGAGAGAGTGAGAGAGTGAGAGCGTGAGTGAGTGTGAGTGTGAGTGAGAGTGAGAGTGAGAGTGAGTGAGTGTGAGTGTCATTGTAAATGAGAGTGGCAGAGTGGGTGAGTGTGAGTGAGAGAGAGTGAGAGTGAGAGTGTGAGTGAGACCCTCATCACTCTCACTCTCACTCTCACTCAGGGTTGAGGTGAGGGTGAGAGTGAGAGAGAGAGAGAGAGTAATTAAGTGAGTGAGAGCGAGTGTGAGGAGAGTGAGAGTGTGAGTGAGAGGGTGAGAGAGTGAGAGTGAGAGAGTACGAAATCTGCACTTCGAGGTTAACAAAGTGCTGCCTGCCACGAAATCTGCACTTCGATGTTCACGAAGTGCTGTGCCTGCCACGAAATATGCACTTCGAGGTTCACAAAGTGCTGTGCCTGCCACGAAACCTGCACTTCGAGGTTCACGAAGCGCTGTGCCTGCCACGAAAGCTGCACTTCGAGGTTCACAATGCGATGCGCCTGCCACAAAATCTGCACTTCGAGGTTCACAGCCTGCCACGAAATCTGCGCTTCAAGGTTCACAAGGTGCTGTGCCTGCTACGAAATCTGCAAACGAGCCACATCTCCAAAGTCACGATTCACTGTACACTGTACCTGTCGCGAAGTCAGACCTCGTCGAAGATCACCGCCATGTCCTGCGTGCTGTACCTGCCATGAAATTTGCATTTCGAAGTAAAGCAGCTCCGATCCCTGGCACCTGTCACGAGAAGTCGGCTTTGGACCACGAAAACACGAGGCTTCCCTCGCGCCTGCCACGAAAAGTGACCACCATGTCCGAAAATGCGCACGGCGCCACAACGAGAGCGCAGTCGCTAGAAGCACGCGCCTCGCCCACGCAGCAGGTTCTGCGAGCCTGCGCAGTTGAAATGCACGTTGACGATTTCGAGAGGCATGCATGCACTGTAAATAGCCACGCTCGCGTCGTCACCTCGATCTAGCCCCGGTGCTTAACTATTACCGTAAGAACCCCTAACTGTGTCCACACTGTTTGTGGAAAATAGTGGTCAAACAGTGACGGGGACTGTTTCATTTTCACCCCAAGGTCCACATGCGCCGAGAATGAGGAGAACTACTGTAAGGTACTAAGGTGTAAGTTTTCCCTGGAAAAGCACTGCCCAAGTTGCACTCAAAGATTGACGGCTGCAGCAAAAAAAACATGCAAATGCCCATGTGTCTAACTGTGCAGTGGAGGAGTCGTTTCACTATGATTTATGTGTTTTCACAATAATAGAGCACAAGAAAAGCTAACCAAGGTCCGGAGATGTCCGGACTACAGGGACATAGTCGCACAACAATGAAGCATCAATTCTGATCTAACTCCAAGGCACCCGCCCCTTGAGCACAGGCGAATCATGTGCAAAAGTGGTCACGGAGCCCTTGGAGATCTTGAGAACACACTCCGCATTGCATGGAATTCCATAGATGCTTTGGTCCTGAGGACAATAGACTCCACCATGCCACTTCCTCAGGAAAAAGAATGCCCACAGGGCTAAATGGAAGACACTGGACGAAGTTCGGAGCCGGGTACGTGGCCCAGCCAGTCTTCTGAGCAGGTGAGTGGTGCTTTTCTTGGGGTGCAAAGATCGTATACACTGGGCCACTGGGAAGCACGTGCGCGCGAATGTCTACAAAATGAACAAAATGTGTGTGTGCGCCGTTATGGGTGAGAAACAGAAGGGTTCAGCCAAGCCTCAGCGACCCCAGCAGGCCCCAGCAGGCACCATAGACGTAATTCCCCGCACCGCGTGCCACATAATGGGTGCAATGTGACACAAGCATACACAAGCCACGTTTACACACGCATTTCAAGTCGCAAACCACAACTACGCATTTCTGCCTTTTAATACTAATACTATGTGTGCCTACGCCGGTACCTACGCAACCCTCTGCCCCCAAGCAAGAACAGCCTACGCAACGTCCAAAGCAGTTCCATTATTTCATAGACTTATTCTGAGTGATTCAGAAAACCACCCCTATCACGAAGACTCAATCAAACCAAAGTACATATCCTAAAAAATGTTTGTTTTTTTGTGGAAGAATGTGCAAAACTACGATGGACCTTGGCAGGGTGAGGGATATGTTTAAAATTGTCTTTTTGTGGGAGGGGTGTGCACAAATACGATGGACTTTGGCATGGTGAGGGTCTATAAAATTAGTGTTTCCAACCTCTGTATTTTGGGAGGCCAAAATGGTTGCATGGCATGGTCTGTCCATGTTTCTGCATTGCAAGCCGCGATAAGAGAATACATGAGAATACTTACTATATATTATCATGTGTCATTTTTTGTGCGGGCTTCCGATCATGTGTCATGGGGGTGCAAAATAGGCATTGTTTACTTCACAACCAGCCCTGACAAAACAATGAAACAGTTGTAGGTGACAAAAGTTCAATCAACTCAGGCCACCCTAGTGGTTAGATTCTGACCAAATCTGTCTCGAAGGCAAGTGTATTCTCTTCTCCCCCTTCTGCACACTGGAAACACAGTATTATTCTACTTTGTATTCGCGTTTTCCTCTTCTCCCTCCACACTGAAAACAAAGTACTCCTGGGAGATGGACTTTGGCAACCCACCGCCACAAAAACAAATCAACAATTTGACATTGAACGGTTTGATATGTGTTCGTGCAAATTTGCAAAAAACGGTGGAATGTACCATGTGTCACATTTGTACAAGGCGTGCATTGCTTTCTGCTGGCATTACTTTTTCTGTTTGTTTGTGTGATGTTTGTTTTTGCTGACATCTTTTGGCTGATGGTGTTGTTTTGGTTCGCCACTCTTGTCTCAAAATGTGCAATGGCTCCTATCTACAACAGCATTTTGTCCAACAAATATCCAGCCACATCACCGCCAACAGCACCACCGTCATAGTTCATGAACGTTATTGCCTTGAAAGACACAAACGGCCCTTTATAAAGGCCAGTGCTTCAAATAAACCTTGACTTAAATAGACCCTAATCCTTCATATACCTTCCCTTTCTACACAGACCTGATTCTTTATATAATGAAAAACCAGCATCACCATTGGTTCATCTCTGAAAAATATTACAGTGTTCAAAGCGATTCTTTTTATATAATGAAACGCCAGCACCAGGCCACTGGTCACCGGTCAACATGTGTTTCCTCATTTTCCAACATTGAGGTGGTTTATGAAAGGAGGTTCGGAAATGTCATTTGTAAAGGAACAGGTTCTTCATTTCATAAACAGTTAGATGAAGATCATCCTAACAAGAAACGGAAAGAACGGCTCAATATATGAACGCCAGAAGTATGTCCAGCCAGGCCGGGCCGTGCCATTGGCCAACAAAGGTTGCACGTGGTTGTGTCAATTCTCAAAAAAATGTGCAAAGCCACGGAATCATCACGGCATTTTCCAAAATGGCGGAGCATTGTTGGCAAACCTTCATCTTGGACAGTCTACACTTCTTCGTTGACGATCCAGGGCACCTTTGTGCTTTGAATGACCCCGCACGCATGATGGTTTTTGCACACAGGAGGCTAGCCACAAGAAAGTCCTCTAACATGCCGCATTGGGTTTCAGACCCAACGACCAAGAATTGCAACTAGATGTGCCAAGAATCCAGTCACCTTTGAAGACCTCACCAATCAAATCAACCTGCCCAGTGGCACACGTGATCTGCAGGACTTGGGCTGAGTTCGTCGGCACTCCTGACCGAAAGAACCCGTGCAAAAAGACAGATTCTTGCACACTCCGTCAAAAATGCATACTTGAATGAAATCCCAATGCAAGTGTGAACATACTTTAGGACGACAACGCACATTCCGCCATATGGACAAGAAAAAGCCTGGCAAGTTGGATCTCATGATTGTGCACGGACTCGAACAACGCACTCGTCCTCGTCGGACCAGTTTGGACACATATGGGCACATTTGACACGGATATCATCGTTTGGACCAAAAATCCTGCCGTATAGAACCTTTATCCTGTATCTTTAAGAAACCCTTGCTTTAGCAAGATGTGATTTGTAAAGCAAACTCTTCTATAAGGAAGTCCAATATACAATACAACGGCTGTTGGCTTTCTATGTGAAGCCCACACGTGGCCTTCTTTGTCTATGTCAGATTGGACGAAAACAACCTTATGGGAGTGTATGTTTTTGATGTTCCCTAGCCGGGATGTTTGACTATGGGCATGCTTCCGTGTGATACCCTTCGTGCGGTGCGAAGATGTGCGAAGACTAAAGTAGTTGCATTTTCAGAGGTATGCTTCGGAGTATGCTTCGCCCAAGTCGAACAGTTCAACTCTGCACAAAGTGGACAAGCCTTAAAATTATCCCGTTTCAGGTCTTGATCATCGCTCGTCAACTGAGTTCGAACAAAGGCTTCTGCTTTGGAAAACATTGCTGAACTGTATTGATAGGCGCCTTGTGATTTTAAACCCTTGAAGAACCGCCTTCTATATTCGCAAATTGCCCCTTAGCCTTAAAGCTTCGGCTGGAGATGCGCCTGACACTGAACCTGCATCTGCCAATGGCAGCGTCCCAAAAACAACACGGCATATCATGAATATATCCACAATTTCTAGTTTCACTTCTGCATCTTCTGCACTATTCTCTGCTATTCTATTCATGTGCCTTCCACGCTTCGCAGCTTCCCGCTTTGGGCGCTGTGCTCTGACGCTTCGAAGCTGGTCATGGTTGCATTCGGAAGCTAAACGGCTGTATTCGGAAACTGGGACGGTTGTATTCGGAAAGTAAAAAACGGTTGTGTTCGGAAACTGGAGGGTTTATTCGGAAACTGGGCGGTTGTATTCGGAAACTTGTATTCGGAAACTACAGAACTATATTCGGAAACTGGTATTCGGAAACTGGAAACTAATGCTCGGAAAATACGAAGAGCAACAACAACACTATCTACAGAGATCATCAACTTTTCATGCAACTACCCACTGATGTTTATTGCCCCCCCACCCCACCCCCACAAATTTTATAGAATACGAGGAACATAGTTCTGACTACCACGAAAATAGTTTCTCAATACAACAAAATAGTTTCTGAATACAAGAAAAATAGTTTCTGAAGACTAGGTTCTGAATACAGCGCAGTTTCTGAGTTTCTGGATATATACGACTTTGTTCCTTCGAAGCTTCCTCGCTTGACGGAGCTCTGGCGACTTCGACGCTTCGTGGCCTCGCAACCCCAATATACAACTACGAGCAAACATTTTTGATTAAATACAATCTTAATTATACATTACACATTAAAAACATATATACAGTATAGGCTGGCTTTGGCTTGAATACCCACGCAATGGCAGTCCCTCAGCGGTCACTCAGTCGAGTCAATTCCACTTAAGAATCGGGTGTCAAAATGAAGTGCGTGGGGTTCATTGCTTGCCAATGGCACTATGCAAAATGAAATTCAAACCTTGAGACAGCCAAACCCAGCGCTCCGTAGATGCAGCCGTCGAGCGAAATGCCACGCAACCACCTGAGCAAGATGCAAGAGTTTTGAGAAAAAGTCTTCCTACCTCTCCGATTTACAACATGTGACAGCTGATCGAATACGTGCCACCGCTTGCAAATCTTCTCTGATGTGTATTGTAAAAGGCAGGAGTTCGGGGAAACTTCCGGAATGCTAACAAGCAAACGGCATGGCTCTTTTCCAATGCGCACCCAGGTGACTCAAGGCCTGAACCCGATGGCAACAGTCGGATCTAAAGCATCTCATGAATGTTCACACCTTCATCAGCCTCCTTATCTTCTTTATGAGTATGCTTTTGTTTGAGCCTTTGTTCCGACTGTCGACCGGACTCAAGCACTTCCGCTTCAACCTGCAGTCTGTACTTCGAGGTCCTCAGCAGGTCGTACATCGGCACTTCGTGTGCCTGTGACACCTTAGTCAGCATGTCAGCCGGGTTTCTGTTGTGTGGAACCCAGCGAATGCGAGAGCAAGTTCGAGACATGGAATCCCGAATCAAAGCTACCTCCAGCGACGTTCTGTCGCATTCACCTTGGCTCTGCTCATTCGAGGAAGCATCAAACACTCCCTTCGAGTCCAGGATGGCCACGGACTTCGGGTCGTGGAAGTTCTGGTCTTCTTCCGCGATGACAGTGGGCGTCCCGCGGAGGCCTCCATCATCCATCCTTTCAAGCTCATCCCTCACACTGTAGTTGGACTTGAGGAAGGAGTTCAATGTCGACATCTGCTTCTCCAATGCTCCATAGGCCGTGGAAAGCGCAATGCTTTCGCAGAGGTTCGAAGACCCAGCCTTGCGCCTCAGGCGCCTGCTCTTCCAGCTGATCAAGGAGATCGGCGCTTCTTCTCCTCGGTTCAGCTGTGGTGTGGTCACACCTTGAAGCCACCCGTGTTGGGGTTTGGTCTTCCCCGTAGGGTCGAAGGAGCTGTCGCTGATCAGCACGTGGCGGATGAGCTCCTCCTTGATGGGGTGTATGCGAATGACCACATCGATCTCTTTGAGCTTGGCTACGATCTTGTTCACCTCCAAGGCGTCAGCAATCGAGGGATTTGGAAAGACCCCCGAGAACACTGAAGCCGCTGCGGCGGCGTCTGGTCGTCCTTCTCGAGCGCACCAGTTGATGCTAGCCACAAGTTCCTCTCAAAGCAGATTCTTCATCGTCAGTGAGTTGGACACTCTTGGCGTTCTTGACCAGGAACTTTCGCTGAAAGACCACCGGCTTGAGGCGGTTCTTGATGTAGTCAGCCATCGTCAGCTCGAAGGAGTAGTTCTCGAGTTGTCTCAAGCGCCTCCCGGCGTAGCCAGTGCCACTCTTCTCTTCTTGAAGGTTCACTGCCTTGCCAAATCTCAGGCGCTTCTCAAGCCATTCCATTCGCCTGCGATGCTCGGCGTTGCCAGCCTCAAGAACGTCGTCAATCTCAATGACAATCAGCCCTTGAGTGCGATCACCGGGCTTCCCTTCTCCCAAGCTGGTCGTAGAGCGAGAAGTTGAGCTTGTAGAGGAAGCTGAAGTTCCGGTAGGCGAGGAGGTCGAAGTGGTACCTGGAAGTGGTTTGAGGTCAGGCGGCTCTGCGTCCAAGGTCAGCACGCAGCGGTCATAGCTGTTGATGCGGTAGCCGCATTCTTTTACCAGGACCTGCAGGAAGCTCTTTCTCCACCAAGCAGGGCCACTGACAAGGCCATAGACCTCGGTTTCCAGTTGGATCAACTGATCTTTGGAGCAACCAGGAAACACTCCTCCAACACCAGGCGGCATAGAGCAGCAAAGGCGTTGCTTCCTTGTCGTAGGTAAGGATTGCAGGAAGGCCGTTTTGCAGTCTTTGATTCTGCCCGTCCAGCCTCTTGTAGCTGCAACCTGAAGGAAAAGCATGATGCTGCTGGACAAGGGCGTAGGAGCGCTTCTCTCAATGGCATGGATCCATGGGTCCCGCCAGCCAACAACACACCATCTCGACTTTGCAGACAAACCAGGATGGTCCATCGGCTCGAAGGTGGGCTCGTCGAAGTGCTCCGGCAAGGTCGAGAACTTTCCATCACCTGACGGCTTCCACCGGTCAACATACCGGCTGGGTAGGACACAGTCAGGATGGTCTCTTCGGAAGATTCGGCTTTCTTCTGGAGACAGAATGGTGATTGCACGGTTCTCGATCAGAGACTGCACCTCTTTGATCCTTGCATCCAGGAAAGCTTTGCGGTGAGCTGGATTAGTGAGCTTCTCAAACTCGATGTGGCCAGGCGCTAACTTGGTCTTTGTCAAGTAGATGCATCGGTCCGCATAACTGTAGGAACCTTCTGCCTGGTCCAGAGTGAAGTTGACGGTGGAGATCGGAGTGATGCCAAAGCGCTCAGCTCGTTGGTCAAACCACCAAAGTGCACCATCTTCTCCGGCAGTCCAGGTGGCTCTGCGGGTTCGCTCTTGGTCGAAGGTGACCACCTCAAAGAAGTGTGATCTTCTCTCCGGTGGCGTTGGCAAAGACCTCGGAGGTTCGGAGAAAGGATACGGCAGTGATCTTGCATGATCCTCAGCTGGCCGCATAGGTCCGAAGCTTGTCCTCAAAGTGCCACCGCGTCCTTCATCCACCTGAATGCTGTTTCGGCGGCTAGGTAGTGCTGAAGGCGGCATGCTCGTCAGCGGTGTGCTATGAGCTGCCTCATCCGTCCCCATATGGGTGCTCACTTCTTCACCATCATCCAAAGCTTGTTGAGGGGCTTCAAAAGCAGGTTGAAGATGCTCATATTCTGGTGTCGCAGCCATGAGCTCATCGTCAGTTTCAACCACACTGGTGGGTGTGTACTCCTCCATCGTCAAGTCAGGTTCTGCTGGACGAGGTGGTGGAGTAGCTTCTTCGTCCAAGGCTTCCATAGGTTTGACCTCGGCCTCGAAAGGTTGTTCATCTTCTTCACCAGGTAGTTCTTCAGACAAGTCATGGTAGCGGGAAAGCTTGCCACTCTTGATGTCTTTGATCATCTCCAGACTAAGCTCTTTGGCCAAGACTCTGCCCAGATCTTCTTCTCCGGTAGTTGGACGAACGTGCTCCTTGGGCACCTTGAGAAGGGAACCACGAAGACTGACCCACATCGTCCTCTGGTTGGGACTGATGGCGACAATAACGCCAGGACCACTCCAGCCACTGTGCAGGTTTGTCGATCTCCACACGTAGCACCAATCACCTGCGTTCAAAGGAGTTTGGTCGGTGGTCTTCGTCGGTGACTTGAGGGCTCTCTTCACGGTGTCCTCATCCAGAGCTCGCAACCAAGACTGAGCTGCCATGTCTCGGATCTGCCAACTGCGTTGCACATCCTCGGCTGCTGAGATGTTCACCAGGATGGGGTCCAAGATGTCGTCGGAGAGAAGAGATGCTGGCATTCGAGGGTTGTAGCCAAAAGCTCTCTGGTATGGTGTAAAACCAGATCTGTTGTAGAACCTGTTTCTTGCTATGCAAGTCTCTTTCACAGCCTGGAGAAATTCCGGCCATGTGTGGATCGCACACTCTGCCACCACCAGCTTCAGCTTCTGTTTGAACACTCCTCCGGCTCGTTCTGTTCGCCCGGCTTGCCACGGGGCATGAGTGTCGATGAGATGCACCATGACACCGAGTTGATTGAGCTTGTAGGCGAACTCCCGGCCAGTGAATTCTCTTCCCTGGTCCGTGACCAGTAGCGTAGGAGGGCCGTATGGCGTGAGCCAGGAATCAGTGAGAGCTGTCATCGTCTGGGAAGCTGTCTTCTGTGGCAAGTAGGTCACATTCTGCAACCCAGTTCCCCAACAGATCACATTCAGGAAGGCATGTAGTTCTCCACCATACTCCAGGAAGATGACATCAGTGCCAATCACTTCATTGAACTTCAAGCCATGTGCAAGATGTCCTGGTCGAGGTGTCTTCGGCTTCTGATGCTGCAGACAGATGGGACAAGTGAAGTGCCGCTTGACATACTCCAAGACTTCGTCCTTGACTTGGGCATGCTTGAGAGCCCGGATGAAGCTCTCCTGAGACGGGTGTCCCAGGTTCCGGTGTAGTCGAAACACTTCTCTCCTCAGGTCTGCTGGGATACTCGCATCAGAGCGGTTTTGAGAAAGATCTTGAGCCAATGCTTGCACCTCGTCGGACTCAGCAAGTGGCCTGATCTCATGTTTGGCCTTTTCCAGCACAGGGTCGGCTTCTGCAGGAGCTTGCATTGGGTGATCCTCCAGGGCTTTCAGCCGTTTGTGCGGTCGACCTTCAGCAGAAGTAGAGGGCGTCGAAGACGGCAAAGAAGGCGCCGCGCCAGAAGCCGCAGGAACATCATCTCCCCGGCCCAAAATTTTGTGGGCTGGAAAAGCCGTGAACAAGTAGGTCATGTAGAAGAACTCGTGCTGGAAGTGGGACTCCTCAAGGATGTAGTCAGCCAGAGGTTGTGACCAAGCTCGTGCGTAGTAGTTGACTCGGTCTTGAAGCTCTGACGGAAGCAGCACGGGGTCTTCTGCAACATGCACGTAGTCCACTCCTCGGCCGCGAAGGTGGTGTCTGAGACCTTGGAGAACGGCTCTGACAAATTGGAGAGTGTATTGAGCTGCAACTGCTGCTCGTCCACCGCCAAGGAGAGGTTGATGTGAATGCTTACCATCGCACCGGTACTTGCGAAGAAGGCGTACCAAAGGCCAAACGTTGGTAACAAGTGCAGTAGGTTTCTTGGCCAAGCCTCCGTCGGTGTAGAGCTGGAAAGCGCACATGTCCACCACAATGCTGTAGACTCCAGGAAGCTGCACAAGGGCTTCCGCTTGGCTGTCTTTCCAACTTTCTGCATATCGAGGATGCTCAAGAAGAAATCCTCGGCGTTCCCGATGCTGAAGTCGAGCAAGATGGATGGCAAAATGCCAATGCAGTAGGGCGTCCTTCAACTCCTTATCCACCACACCTGCATCTCTTTTGAAAGTTGACAGCCGTCTAAGGGTGCTGAAGGCTGTGCATGGTGGTGAGAGTATCAACAGGGCAGGACGACATTCTGCAATCAACCTGAGAGCTGCTTGTCG